AACATTTTCATCCTATATACACAAATTTTTTATACAGGGTGTCTGTAAAAGGTCTTTACAAAAACATACCACATATTCCTTAGACCAAAATAAGTCGATTTAAGTAAAATTACCTTAGTACAAAGTTGCTTCGTTTGGGCCCCAGAGGGTCTTGAAGTTACAATTTTTAAATCGTTTTTCCCATATAAATTTAAAACGGCATATGCGATTTTGCTGAAATTTGGTATGTTGATAGAGTTTTATGTGGAAAAAAATGGTATTAAAATTTTGTCTGATAATAATACATAGGCGTAGAACTTGATTTTTTAAATAATTGCACCTTTAAAAATTCTACGCCAATGGAAGAAAAGGAGTTTGAGTATGAAATTTAGATTGCGCAACTCATCTGCTTTAAAAGAGGTATTCCTAATAAGACTCGATTACTCTCATGGTTTTGACGAAATTTGCATTTTAGTAATTTTAGAACATAAACAATAATTATTAAAATACAAACTTTGTAAAAACCATGAGTAAATCGAGTGTTATCAAAGGTACTTTTTTGTAGTAAATGAGTACCCAATCCAAATTTTATACTCAAACCCCTTTTTTGCCATTGGCGTAGAATTTTTAAAGGTGCAATTATTTAAAAAATCAAGTTCTACGCCTATGTATTATTATCGGACAAAATTTTAATACCATTTTTTTTCCACATAAAACTCTACCAATATACCAAATTTCAGCAAAATCGCATATGCCGTTTTAAATTTATATGGGAAAAACGATTTAAAAATTGTAACTTCAAGGCCCTCTATAGCCCAAACGAAGCAACTTTGTACGAAGGTAATTTTACTTAAATCGACTTATTTTGGTCTAAGGAATATGTGGTATGTTTTTTTAAAGACCTTTTACAGACACCCTGTATAAAAGATATTTTCTTAATTGGGGGGAAACTTCTACAATTAATTCACAGGATTTTCTTTGAGAATATTTTAAAATCGTCACTATTTTAAGATCCGAAGCTGGGTTAGGGAGAAAATATTATCAGCAATTATTTCTTCATGATAAACTTTTTCATCTACGTCCACGTTTTTAATAATAAGACGTGGATTAAATTTCGTAGGGATACTAGCAGCATATTTGGAACCGAATTCTTTATTAATTGACACTTTTAATTTTTCTAGGGACGATTCATTATTACAATTAATCACTAAACCATTTTTCGTTTTCTTCGTATTATTTATGCATATTTAGTACTTTTTATTATCAGACTAGAAAAAGATAATTGAGTAAGAGTCACTGGTTTTTTTGCAACACCGCTGTAAAAAGCAGAACTGTTCGTACTTGATGCAAAAAAGTTCGACGTCGGTGCGGCATGTTTTAGTAGATTATTATTTAATTTTAGTTCTTCAATAAGATCATTTAGGTGTTTATTTTCTCGTTTTATATATTCAAGAAATTGTCCGATTTAGAATGACCATCATTACTAAGTAGACATGACTTACACTGCCACTCCCATCTATCTGCTAAAAACACCTTTTCAACTGCTCCAAAACACTTGGTATGAATTACATCACAATCATCATTTGCACACTTTACACCACTTTTTCTTATGCTGGATGAACAAATAGCACACAATTTATCAGAGCGATCCGACAACAGGTCTGTATCGCCTGCCATAACTACTACTTAGACGGATTAGACGGACGGTTGCAGGTATTGTTTGATTTTTTGATATTTTACTATTTTTAATGTTGATTTTCGATATATTGTCTATTCGATCTGAGTTTTCGATCTATTGTCTTTTCGATAGAATATATCTTCGATCAAATGTTATTCGATCAAATGTATTTTTAATCAAATGCCATTCGATAAAATGTATTTTCTATCAAATTTCTGGTTCGATCAACTGTTTTTCGAGCAATTTTGTGCCACCCGGCACTTTGTATAATAAATCTGTAATGTAAATGTACCTAATTACAAAAAAAATATATGTTTTATTAAAACAACTTTCTTATTGGAAAATAAATACCTAATTTAATTTAAAATAAGAAAACAAAACAAAACAGTTTTTCACCCGGAAGCTAAAATCTAACTTTCCTATTTAGCATGTAAATTCCACTTTCATCTGAATATTTATACCTATCCTCCTTAAAAAATACGAGTTTAGATAAATTTTTAATGCATAAAAACGTGCCTGCAAACTCTATTAGCCCTTGCAGCATTTGTATGCACCGGGTACGTGTTATCTTTATCTCAACAACAGTATAGACAACGGAACAGAACAAAAACCCTCTTCAATCGGAAAACTATCCTTATCCTAATGGACGTTGATACATTTTACGTGTTACGGTTACCGTAATCCAAGAGTTCCGGAAAAGTAGGATTGATCTATACAGTACGAAACTTTTTATGTCCGTTTTACATTTTCGTTTTAGTTGACGAGTTGAAAATAGGGATTAAGTAGAGCAATTTACAATTCACCAATTATGACCATCCTTTAGGAATAAATTATCATTATGTCAAACTGTTTAATTTGAGGGCAAAGAGGCAAAGAAACATTTACTGAATATAAAATAAAAAGAAGAAATTTTATATTATTGTATGAACTATTATGGGATTTTCTTACGACAATTATTAGAGAACGTTAATAATGTATAGCAAATTTTTATAATATTTTGGATTAAGTCGTGCCTAAATTTAATTACTGAACCAATGAACTGTAGAATATTTTCACCTTGGTTTAATGGCGATATTATAAAACATTTAAAAATAAAAAAGTATATGAGAAGGGAACTAAAATAAAAGTGAAATGTATGTCAAGGGCAAAGTTTCAATAAAATTGAAATATCCCTTTGACTGCTGCAAACTTATAAAAATAAGCTTTATTTTAGTTATACTGTCCCAACTTTTTATTTTATTTTTTTTAACCCATTTTTAGGCTGTCAAGCTTACCTACATCCATCGACTAAATTTTCTGGCGTTAGCACTTAACCACATGTTGCTAATTGATGTCACCATTGGAAGATAGTCCTTATTTCCAAAAACTAAGAAAGTTTTCTTTCTTCCTTCATTTAACACATTTTACTCAATTTTTGTGTCTTTCTTGACGTACTCCTAAATTTAATTATTTTTATTTCCTTTCTCTCACTGTACGTTTTTACTCCCTCTTAATACAACGTTTTAGTCCTAATAATTTATTTAGTGTTTTCCCTAATTTTCCTGACCCACCTGCCTCTTTACGAACTTCTTAATACCCACATTCCTTTATTCTAAAGAACAAGGAAAATACATATTTATTGTAATAAAAAAAAATAATTCTAACTCAAATGTAAGCAAGATGTAAAATACAATCAAAATAATCTCAAAGTTATGCGTCACAACAATATGTGTGGACGTTTGTCTTTTGACAACAACTACTCCTTTAGCTATTACCTCACTAAGTATTGAATTAAAAAGCAAAGATAGAACATATTTTTAAGACTCTACCTTTGATTTTGCTTACTAAGGAAAAAGTCATTCGTGGACCGATTTCGTACTTATTAGGACTCTGCAGCAAGAAATAGAAAATCTCGACTCCAGTCTCTAATGAAGTCTGATAGTTATACGAAATTCACTTGAATAGACTAACAGCGTGTTGAAAATGTGTAGATATACAACAAGCGAAAATGATATTGCCATCTGCACTTAGTAAGCAAAATCAAAGGTAGGATGTTAAAAATATTTATTTACAACCATATATGTAATGTTGTCATTACTAACGTCATTGAAGGTTGGGAAGTGTCACATTACACACCTCTACATCCCGCCCTCATTTCATCTATTCTAGATGAATATTTTTTATATTAAAAAAAAAAATAACACATTGTTTGACAAATTTTATAATACCTATTTAATGGCAAACGATAAAAAACAACAATGATCTAAAATATAACAAACTACTTATTGATATTTACTATTCGCGAATTTAATATCCGGCTTTATCTGACATTTATTTATATTGGTGACAGTTGTTTACCCCGTAATCACAGTAACAATACATTTACCTACTTGATTATTCTAAGAAAACCGCGCGCTTGGTAATTTGTCATTAAATGTAATATTTTAGGTATCTTCAGAACAAAACAGAGATTTATTAACTTTGATCGAAATATGATGGTTGTAAATAAAATAGTATACAAACCTCGATAGGAAGTTTCATTCCTGTCTCGAGATCATAGCTAACCTCGACGCTTCGCGTCTCAATGATCTAACTAATCTCACGACAGGAATGAAACTCTTCCCACCTCGGTGTGTAATATACTATTTCTATCTTTGCTTCTATCTGTTGACAATTTAATACCTGATGAGATATTAGCCAAAGTACCAGTTGCGATGCATGGCTTAGAAATTATTTTGATTGTATTTTGCATATTAGCTATTAAGTGGTTTATACTACACTGTGACATTGAGTGAGTAGAGTAATATAACTATACTATCCTTTTCTGTCTTCTCTATCTTTAACTGATTCCCGGTAGCTTCTGAATTTTTATTTTACATAGCTGGTTCCCTTTTTTAGGATACCAGAAATGGGTTCTATTAACTATTACACTGGCCAACAAAATTACCCTTTTTGACTGATGAATGACTTATGTTCCATGATATTTACTAATTTTAAGTAGCTCATTCTAAATATACCTTTACTTTTTTTCTGACAGCTTTTGTTTACGAGTTATAGCTTTCACTAAAAATTCGCTGTATTATAGTGTTTGTTTGCAGTTTATTTAATAATAATTATTGAAATATTATACATATTTAATTTTATTTGGAAATACTATTAACCCCTCTGTTGTACGACCGCGGACACCCCCTGTAGTTTCTTAGAACATACTTATAAAGGTAAAAGTACCACTCTTTAATGACCGGTAAAACTCAATTTCAGAATTCTTAAGAAATGATCTTTTGTTATATTACGGGAAGGTTTAGTAAGACAATAGTGAAATTATCTTTCTTCTTTGAATTATTATTTTATTTTGTAATTTGATATGGCATCGTCAAGAAGAGTATGTGTGAATGATTCAAATAATTTTTGTTTCATTTGCCGTTTAAATGTGACAACGTTCGTAAATGAGGCTTACAAAAATTACATTGGACACCCATTAGAAATGAAGAATAAGCCTTGGATTTCGCAAAAGGTATGTAAAACATGCGTTGAGTTCCTACGTTTATGGATTAATAAGAAAAGACATAGCTTCAGATACAAAACCGCTATGATTTGGAATGAATCCATGAACCACTTTGACGATTGTTATTTTTGTTTGGAGAACATAACTGGTATTAACCGAAAAAATCGAGCCAAATGGGAATATTCTTCCATACAATCGGCACATAGACGTGTCCTGGGCCCTAATTCTACACCTGAACCTCAATCTGGTACTTTACAGGAACCTTCATGTAACCTACATGTAAGCTTCCGAATCGGTTAAAACTACAAAATATTAAAAATTAAAAACAATAATCAAATTACGCATACCCGGTCACATGTGATCATTTTTTAGGATACTCGCGGTTTAGCTTCAGTGGAGACTGGTGTGGTCCACAAAAAATAATATGAATGAAATTTACACAAGTATCTAAGAGGTCCTTATCGACCATAACTTACCAAAAGGTCAATAACTTAATATACACCAATTTAAGTACGTAAATTAAACTAATGTAGATTTAGAAAAAATTAACATATATTTAGGACTAAGTCCAAGGCAACGAATGAAATCCTTACTATCGAACCTAAATATAAAAAGAATAAACACACCTATAAATTCATCTAAATTCTAAGTGTGAATTAAACCAAAATATGTTAACAGTAGCGGTAGAAATTAAAAAATAGCAAATAAAGCAATTGGGATTATTAACACTATACCCAATAATAGCAATAATGCAATAGCAAAATAAAACAACAAAACTACAAATAACTAATGGGTATTGCTGGTCTTAAGGCAAAAAAAAAGGAACCGATAATAAAAAAAAAATAATAAAGATTCTACACCGCTTGAGTTTAGGCGCATGTGCATTAGATCCTGAAAGGCAAAATTTTCGTTATGTGATTCCGCAACGTTAACAAGTAAATATGTATCATTAAAAGCGTAACAATAGGCGAAAAAGCTGTACAAGCAATGAGATAAAAAAAATAAGAAGCGTTCCGTTTCTACAGCGAAAAACTAGACCAATTAAATAGGTCATTAAAAATAATCACAAGAAACAAAGAAATATTTTAAATCTGGAACCTCGCAAATTCGAAAAGATTTTAGATCGCATAAAAAAAACTAAAATTACATGCCAAACAATAAAAAAAGCAATGTATAAATAAATATAAAAAGGTATACGTTACTTATCCTGGCCAAGGGGTTCCTTTATTCAGATGGCTTTAGCAGCAAACAAATTTGTATATTACCTCTTTCTATTATTTAGCGGTTAAAGTCCTAATTGTATCACTAAAATAAAGAAAAAGCTTGGTAACTAATTGTACTTTGAGATGCAAAGTTTTGAGCAAATCACTATCAAAACGAGTCTCCATTTATTTAAACGACAAAATAATTTATCTTATTTTTTTTGCAGCAATAAAAAAAATAATTTTACCGTTCATACAAAGAAGAATAAGCGGCTTAAAAATGAACAAAGCTAAACGAAGTGTTACATACCTGATTAAGGGTAAAATATCTTATCAAAAAGCTTCACGTGCAGTGTAAAAAAAAATCCTTCTCCAAACGAAGTAGTCCAGAGAATCTCTATCAAGTAAATAACTCTTTCAAAAGTACTTGAGAGTCTCCCACAATTGGTACTGGGAAAAGTGAACCTCCTTTTCGGGATGGTCGCACTATGACCACGAAATTCCAGTAGCATCCTTACAAATTTAACACACGAGGAAGCTTCTTTAAAAGGCAGAGTGAAAGTTACCAGAGGGGGCCTATTCTCCAGTTGAGAGAATGATCATTTCATGCGAACTGGACAGCCGTTCTCCTAAAAAGTGTGTGTGTGGTATTCTTGAATTGAAGTGAATGATCACTTCGCATGAAAATCGAGAGCACATACTTCTCTTATTCAAAACCAGTAGAACAGCATCATTTCGGGAGAACATTGGGAGAACTGTCATTGTCGTGCGCTATCAAAACGTCACTTTTTTTAATTAAAATGGATTTGGACGAAGCTCTTATTTATATTCATATTTTGAATGATCTAGCTGAAGCGGAAGAAGATGCCAATCGACCAAATATAATTTTTTTAAGAAAAGAGGATTTTTTTGACTTTAGTGACCAAATATTCATAAAAAATGTTCGTCTAACTAAACCTTTTGCACGAGATTTAATAGAAAATAATGGAAAATATAATCTGTTATTACAATTGTCAAAAAATAATAAAAAATCGAAGTAAACTACCTTCTAGTTCTATCGCACAACTTAAATTTGGCAGCGGTGCTCCGTGAACCTATGAGATATGAATGATTCAAGAATATCGAATACGATGACCGAGAGAACAAATTGGTGATAGGACACTTCACATCCCACAGTGGAATGTTCACATCGTTCAACTTGGAGAATAGGGCCCCAGGAAATCATCGTTTAGCCATATTTGCGGGAAAATGTATTTACAGAATCCATCAGTAGATGGAGCCATGGCGAGTTATCGCAAAGAAACAAAAATAATCGGGAAATTAAGGACAAAACATACAAATAATGTAATACAAACTAATCTTATATAAGGGGAAAAGTTTAATAGTTGCTAAAGCAATCTATTATGATGAAATACTCCCCACAAACCTATAGAAAAATCGGAAATTTTAAAATTAAAACTGGCAGCGTCGCATTCCTGCCGAAAGTACACCGATCAAGGTAACATTCTTAATACCTACTATACAGATATATTGCCTTCTAAAAACAATAAATAATAACCAAGCCGGGATCAAATACAATAACTATAATGGAAAGATAGTCTTTTGTTCAAACTTGTTCTGAAAATATTAATTTTCATACGAAATATACAATAAACTTTGCAAAGAAGGTCAAAACTGAGCGAAGCACAGGTGTAGAGGTGGGACAACTAAAATAAAAATTAACAAGTTAAAATGAAAGAATAAAGAAAATAGTGTTTAAATACTTTCGAAAACGAAACGATAAATTTGACAAGTTACAGAGCCAAAAGATTTTGAGACGAAGAACGACATTAGTGATAATGACTTTAAATGCGACCTGGAAACGGCAAAACCATTTAATCAAGATGATTTAAACGACTTAATTAGAGATATGGGACTGTCAAAGTCAGTTTCAGAAATTTTGGCTTCAAGGCTAAAAGAAAAAAAATTGGTAACGAAAGAAACTAAAATTTCTTATTGCCGCACAAGAGAACAGAGTTTCCTCAAATATTTTTCTGAAGAAGATAATTTTGTATTTTGTAAATATGTAACTGGATTGATGGCTGCAATCGGATCACAAAATTATGAGTGAGTGGCGTTTATTCATAGACTCGTCAAAACGAAGTCTAAAATATGTTCTCTTACACAATGGGAATAAATTAGGGTCGTTGCCTATTGCACATTCTACAAAAGTAAAAGAAGAATATACAACTATTGCTCTCGTTTTGGACAAAATTAAATATGTGGAAAATAACTGGATCATAGGTTTTGATTTAAAAATGGTCAAATTTCTATTAGGCCGGCAAGGTGGTTACACAAAGTATTCTTGTTTTCTTTGCTTGTGGGGTAGTAGAGCTAAAAATCAACATTGGGTTAAAAAGGATTGGCCTACTCGAAAAGATCTATGACAACAAAACGTGATAAACCCACCTTTAGTGTCAAGAGATCGTATAATTTTGCCTCCGTTGCATACAAAATTAGGGCTTATCAAACAGTTTGTCAAAGGTCTTAACAAAATTGGAAATTGTTTTCTATTTCAATCAAAAAAATTCCAGAAAAGATAAAAGCGGACATTTTCGATGGGCCACAGATAAGATCATTAATAAAGGACACAAAATTTATGGACACTATGACAGAAAGTAAGAAAAATGCATGGAATGAGTTTGTTTGGCTTGTTCAAAATTTTATGGAAAATAAGAAAATTTCTAACCAATCTCATCACGTTGAATAACCAATAAGTCACTTTCAACCCCTTGGATGTAACATGAGCATCAAGTTGCATTTTCTTCACAACCACCTAGATTATTTTCTTGTTAATTTTGGGGATCTAAGTGAAGAACAGGGCAAGCGATTCCACCAGGACCTTTGTACGATGGAGGAACGGTATCAAGGCTACTAGAACACACACATGATGGCTGACTATTTTTGGAGCATTAAGAACAGTTCTATGGGTTCAATCTCTGCAAGGAAGTATTATAAAAGAAAGTTTTTTTCACCTTAAGAACTAAATAAAATATGATTAACTTTAAACAAATTGTGTTTAACTATGAAACAGCCATGTGTCATATTTTCCAAACTAGAGCTAATACAGAAATTTAGATTACAGATTTGAAGTCTTCATTTAAAATTAAGCTAGTGTCATGTAATATAACTCAATCATCAGAAATGCTGTTGTGCAGTGTTATCTACTCTTCCATTATTTTTTTTTAATGAAGTTATGTCTTTCACCACCTAAACTCCCTTCACAATTTTTCACCTCTATCCACTTCTCAATTCCCTTCTACTTTATTCGTATGTTTCCATGGTTCATTTAATTTTTTTTAAATACATCCAGACAAGGCCTGTCAAGGCCTATGTCAAAATTTCATTTACACAATTACTAAAATAAACAAATTAATTTATATATATACACCGGGTGTTCCAATTAAAGTGTTATTAAAAATATGCATTTTAGAAAAAAAATTTTAGACAAAAGTTTTATAGTTTTTTTGGGGGAAACATTTTGGCGTAATTCATTTTTTTATAGCTGACCATAATATGTCCGTATCGAGGTAGACGTTTTTATTTTAAATTGGAACCCAATTTTTTTACATATCCTTAAAGCTATAGAGTTGCTAGGGAGCCTTTAAATTATTTCTACAAAACTACTGAAAACAAATACTTACTGTGATTGGACAGAATCTGCAACTGCTTACAGACATATTGAGTAATTATTGCCAAGTACAGATTCATCTCCATATCATGGGGCTATTAGAATCCGCACTATGTAGGAGGTGCGAACAAGAAGATGAGACCATCAGGCATATCCTCTACGATTGCACGATACTTTCACTCCCCAGAAGATTTGTTTTTAGCGAGTATTGGCTAACACCAACCGGTATAAGAGGCTACAAGAAGCCAATCGATTGAAGAGGATGTACAATAGACTTAGTGAGGTCTAAATGCGATAGGGTAACACCTTCCACACGATACAGAATATATAAATATTTTATTTGTATTTTTGTAGAATCCTGCAGGTACCTGTACTTTATAATCCTTATATTTATGCCTATAGAGCAGAACCTAGTATCTGTTTAACTAAAAAAACAATAAGGATTATGTGGTAAACGACTCAAAAGTAAAATTAAAATAATCAACGGAAATGTTTTGATCGTTTACTTTTTTCGTATATTTAACGCTCCTCACCTAATAAGGAGATTACTAATTCTTTTTTGTGGTTTAGCTATTTGGCCATAAGGAATCAAATCGACTGGACTATTGTTATTGTAGCGCATTACTATATTTTAAATTCTTCTATCTTCTTACTTTCCATAAAGTTTTAAAGTCTTTTATCTGCCAAAAGGAAATTACTTCGCTTCAACTGAAAAACACCAAACCTAATTTCAACAAGAAAAACATGGACTTTTCCATGTTTAACCAGCTGTTTTTTTCTCTATTTCGAAAATTCTAATTTGAATGTCTAATTTCTTGGAAGCAATATGCAAATCCAGTGGAAATAGTGAAACTTCACGTCCGCTGGAAGTTGTCGGGAGTTCCCGGGAGAGGCGGGTGTATAAAGGCTTATCATTGGGGCGGCCACACGCATACCCCTTCGCCACCCTAGGCATCCCGTGCAAGGCTCCGGGGACTTGTCTCGCAAACTTTCAACATTCGGGACATTGTTTTGGCAGATATGTATACCTACTTGCATATCAACAAACTGGGAGCAACATTTAAAGGGGTTAGTGCGAGATGGAGGGAAGTAATATGCACAAATTCTAACTATTTGGTTACACGACAAGACATTTGCGGTTATGTTAATGGGATATGTTTATAAATATAAAATAAAAAATTTAGGTAAGATTTTTTTTTAAACAAACGCACAAAACGATAACTACTTAATACTTAAAGGACCAAGACCAATTTTATCATGTGTGTTTGTGTGAATATTTGATTTTTCACTAAGTTATTTAATTATCTCTCCTGTTTAAAAGTATTCCATTGTACTGAGATTTTTACAGAATAATCCATTATTCTATTTTATTTATTTAATAAAATTATTAAAGTAAATATATTGAATTTTTCACTGGGCTAAGTATTTCGTTTAAATTCCCTTAGTCCTCATTGCAGGGTTCACTAATTAGTTGCCTAGTCGGAGGCAGAGTATTTCGTGCGACTTCCCTTAGTACTCATTTCTCGATCTCGCTATTCGTTACTTCCCCTGATATTCATTGCACGATTTCTCTAGCTAGTCATGAATATGCATTGCTTGTTTAATATTTAATATTTCGAAACAAATTAGCTGGGCCTGGTCTTCACGCGACTTCCCTTAGTACTCATTGACGGTTCAATAATTAGTTAGGTAGTCGGAGATGGTGTACTTAGTGCGACTTCCCCTAGTTCTACCTGTAACGTGTGGAGGTTGGGGGACCCCTAGGGCACTTAGGCCTCACTAGGCCCATTGTGCATCCTCCAAAGACAATACGCACCTCCTAGCCCGTGAACCAGCCTACAAATTTAATGTAGTTGACCACGTCGCCAAGAAGTGCATATCTTATATCGGCCGGTGTTAGCCGATACTTGCCAAACACAAATCTTCTAATAAATAAGAGCGTCGAGCAATCGTAAATGAAATGCTTAAAGGTCTCATCTTGTTCGCACCCCTTGCAGAGTGTGGATTCTGATAGCTCATGATATGGAGATGCTTCCGTATTTGGCAATGATCAATCAGAATGCCTGTGACTAGGCGCAGGTTCTGTCTAGTTATAGTCAAGTATTTGTTTAATACAGTGTTGTCAGGATAGCTTGGGAGCTTCCTGGCAACTCTGTGCTTTCTTGTATCATCCGATCTTTCCTTGAATTTTACAGGGAAATGTTCTTTAATTAGGTCTGTCACTACCAATTTTGTCAGGTCAATAGAAGGGCCAGTTCCAAAAAGTATTTGGCTGGCTGCTTTCTTCGCTAGTAAATCAGGAAGATGGTTACCTTTCGAAGTGGCAAGACCTTTGATCCATCTTAAGGTGACCACATTGTTTATGGATACTTCGGCCAAAGCTTCGTGACATTCTAGTACTAACCCTGAATAAATTTGTGGTCTGTTCAGGGTAAGTGGTACTTGTCTGCTATCTGTATAGATGAGCATATTTCCTCTAGTGATATTGTTTCTAGTGATTTCTTTTGCTGCTATGAGAATCCCTGTTAGCTCTGTTTAAACTACACTGGCATTATTACTAACAGTCTATTTTATTTTTAGGTTTTAGAATTTGGAGTATATTTCGCATCGTGAGCCTTGTTTTGTTTTAGAACCATCGTTATAGATATGAATCGTACCTGCCACTTCCGGCTCTTTTAGTTGTTCTGTTATAACTTCATATGGCTTATGGAATATATATCTCAGTGAGATGGAGTCTATGTTCGCTTGAAGCAGTGGGAGCGTATCGAGCGCTTCCTGCCAAAAGTGATATCTCACGCCACCAAATCATACATTAGGTTCTATTCCAACCGTGCGGAGGCGTGTCATTCTCGAGTCTACGAATGATTTCCATGGCTCTGGTCGGTGTTGTTTTTATGGTTCCTGTTATGTTGAGACATGCTGTTTTTTGAAAGTGTTTTAGTTTAAGGACAGTTGTTAATTTTGTGTTTTCAGTACCCAGACAACTGCACCGTATGTTAGCATAGGTCTTATGATAGCCGTGTAAGTCCATGCGACGACTCTGGGTACGCCTCACGGTTAATCGGCATTGTTCATAAGCAATGTACACTCTTTGGACTCTGTTTTCTAAATGCAAGTTCCATGTCAACTTGCTGTCAAAGGTGAGACCTAGGTATTTCACCTCTGTTGAAAAGTTTAGTTTTGTGTTTGGGCGTTCTGGAGGTTCTAATTCCATTTTAATTCTTTTCCTTGTGAAAAGGACCATTTTTGTTTCCTTAGAATTGAGACAGTGAATGGTCCTTGCACCACTGTTCTATAATTGTTAGAGCTACTTGCATTCTTTCGCAGAGTATGTTCTCAAAATTCCCTGTTTTCAGATTTACCAGGTCATCTGCATATGCTATTGTGTAGTGGCTGTCATTATTGAGGCGACTGATGAGGGTGTCAAAGAACCATGTTCC